TATATATATATATATCAATATTTATGCCAATTATCTATACCAATTGCTTAACTTATAAAACCTTATATATCAATCTATTATATCATCAGTAATGGTAACAGTTATTGCAACTCGGGCTTCCGAGATGAATAAGCAGATATATAAGTGAAAGTAGAGTTATAATAAGCTAAGAGAAAATACGACCATTTAGATATATCAGTGGAATTTGAGGTATAATAAGTCATAAGGAAATTTGGAATTTGTTTTAAACTGATATGTTGAATGTTATTTTTTAATATGTTTTTTTAGATATCATGTTCAAGTAAATGCTTATGTTATTATTTTTTATATGTTCCTACCATTGGCGAATACAGTGTGGGGGCCATAGGGGCAACAACCCCCACTGATTTTGGGAATAATTACATATTAATAGTATTTGTGAACCATTAAATATAAACTAATTACCTTTTTTTTTATTACTTGACTTTTCCTATTCCGCTCATTGCCTTTCCCTATTCAATATAGCCGCACAAGTTGAACGACTCCAAGACGCAAGACACGCTCCTATTTCTCTCAGAGGAATTTGAACCCTGCTACCGCCTGCCCATTCACTGTCACTGAGCCCGAACGCCGCCTGCTATCCTCTGTCACCTCTTCTGAGCCCGAATGGTGATTGTTTCTCCCACTTCGATTTCCTGTTGTTTTACTTTGTTTATTATTTGCTATGTTTGCATACTGCATTAAGGGTTATTTGAGTCATGTAAAATTATGTTTACATGTGCTAATCTGGTTTGGTTTTATTGCTATTTGTTGCACTCTAGGTTCCTTGCCTCTCCCTATTCTGCTTCTTGTTTATCCTATTTGAGTTGTTTCTCTTGTTATCTTTTTCTGAAATTTTTTAAGAGAATTATTTCAATGGGAAGTTATGGGATGATTAATTCTCTAGAAGGATGCTAAGTTAATATTGCATTGTTCTAAAAATGTTATATATATGAAACGTGTTTGAGCCTCTTACAAGCCTACACTATTTTTATGAATCTCATATATAAAATTCAACATTTGATTATGCTTATTCTAATCCCTAGTTCATTACAATGATTTTTTTTTTCTTAATTTTGCTCCCTCTTGTTTCTCTCGTGGATCTCGTGAGATCTATAATTATTTGGTTTTGACGGAATTCATAGATGTAGCTTTTTTTGTTTATGTTAGATTCAGAAACCTAAGGTCCATTATTTTTTTAAATTATGGAGTTCCAATTTTTCTCTCCAAGCTTGATTAATCCTACTTAAAATAGGATATCAAACACCCTCAAATATTTATGTTGTTTCAATTTATTCTTTTGCTATTGATTAATTGCATGCAAATAAGTAAGGTTTATATCTTCTTTTTTAGTTAAATTCTACATAAGAGCATCGGGGCTGTGGATTTCATTTTAATTGAGTACTCTGCAGCCGACAGGTATGACTATTTTCATATGACTATATGAGGCATGACACATGTTAATGTTGTGAAAAATGATTTTTATTATGATAAAATTGATAATATATATTTTTTTTTTCATTTAAATTAGCATTGATAGATATTTCAAAAGAAAAGTTGAAGGAGATGACCAGAAAGTATTATATGAAGAAAACAATTCACAACCAAACATTATCGAGTAGAAATTAATTTTTCGGATATCCCCGTCGATCCACGATTGAGAAAAAAAATTATGGATTATCATCCAAACATGAGGGACAGTGTCATGAGATATTATTTGTTGAAATTAAGGACCCTATCAACAGCGTGATTATGAATTCCCGCGTACTCAATTTGGAGATAGATTTCACAAATTCAATCTTGCATGATTTGATGATCACAAAGCTTGGTTGGAGTATAGTATAACAAAAGATGCAGCGTACTGTTTGTTTTGTTATTTTTATAGACCTCAAATTGAAGAATAAGCTAGCGGTGACAGTTTCGACACAAAGGTTCAGAAATTGAAAAAAAAAAGGGAAAGATTTTAGGTTTGCTTTTTAAATACCTTATGAATAAAATCACAAAGATTATCGTACACGATTAAATGCAAGTGACGATTATGTCCGTTTTCTTTTACACCATGGACTAGCATTCTATGGGCATGATGAATCAGGTGAATCATAGAATTAAGAAAATATTGATTATGAAAGAAAACTCTTTAGCTTATAATGTATATTGTTTTGCACACCAACTTCAACTAGCATTGATTGTAGAAGCAAAAAATCATGTCTAAGTTGCTTCGTTCTTTAATATTGTGACATGTTTGTTAAATATTATTGGTAATTCATGCAAAAAAAATAGATATATTGAGAGGAAAATATTATGATAAAATTGTTGCGCAATTGGAAAGTTGAGATGTTACTAAAGGTCGAGGTTTAAATCAAGAAATCACTCTTCAAAGACAAGGAGACACTCTTTGAAGTTTCAACTATAATTCAATTATCAATATAATTCTTTTGTTCGAGTCCATTATAGAGGTTCTTGACATAGTGACTCACGAGGGATTTAGTAGTGATAAAAGATGTGAAGCATATTTTGTACTTGAATATGTACAAAGTTTTGATTTTATTTTTAATTTACATATTATGAAGATTATTTTAGGAGTTACTAATGAGTTATCACAAGTACTGCAAAGAAAGGATCAATATATTATAAATGCCATGACTTTGATAAAAGTTTCTAAACAAAGATTTCAAAACATGAGAAATGATGGGTGAGAAAATTTGTTTAAAGAATTAGGTTATTTTGTGAGAAGAATAACATAAATATTTCAAACATAATTGATACATTTGTGCTGCGAGAAAGATTAAAGTGTCGTACTGAAAGTATAATAAATAGGCATCATTATCAAACTGAGTTATTTTACACTATTATAGATTTGCAACTTCAAGAGCTCAACAACATGTTTGATAAATTAATACAAAATTACTTATGTGCGTGGCATATTTGAATCCATATCAGTCATTTTCAGATTTTGATAAAGAACGATTGCTTCGTCTTGTAAAATTTTATTCGTCAGAATTTTTTGAGCTGGATCTAATCATACTAGACAATCAAATAGAAAATTTTATTGTTGATATGAGATCGAATGATGCATTCATGAAAGGGTATGACCCCTCTTGATAAGGGAACTTATAGTTATAGATGTGTTCCTTATATATTGGTGTTTTTTTTACAATCATGTTATTAAATGCATGTTGGTTTAAAAAGATATGTTATTTAAATTGATGTATATTATTCTTTTGAGAGTATGAATACAATTAAATAATGATGAAAATGTTTATGATTACTATTATCTGATCATATGGAATGCGCTATATTATGAATATTAAAAAAATAAAACAAAAAAATATTCCAATTAGGTATTAGGAATTGGATCACCTATCATGGCCTCAATATGATGTGACCTGATTCTATATAGTAGATTGTAATGGGTTGAGTTGCAACATAAGATCTCTTAACAATGTCGATGTATACCATCATATATATAGTTGATGCATGTTGTTAATCCAAATGATCACACTTGCAATCAATACAAACATCATTGCTCATTATTTTTGTCACTCTTCATCACCAACAATGCTAACACATGTCATCTCCTATAAGGTTTATGCACACAATCAATCCAAATGCCTAAACCTACTTACTTAATCACCAATAATATCAGTGTATGCCATCACCTATAATGTCGAAGCATACCATTGACAAATAATCCAATGTCTATTGTCTTCCTGGCATGTTGCCGACAAGTATATCAATGAATACTATTAATACAAACTCTGAAGCTCAATGTTAGCACCATGATTTCATAGGATTTTTTTTTTTTGGGTATGTATTATCCTCTTATCAAAGGAGAACAATGAAATATGCAACAAACAACATTTAGAAGATAACTCTAATACCTCAACATTTCATATGAATCATTTTAATCAAAATTGGTCATATAATTTTCTCCCTTTTCAATTTTTCACATAAACAGTCTGATGAATTTCTCTCAATTTAGCTCATTTGTGTTTGTGCATGGGCTTCATATGAATCTAAGATAATAAATTCTATTTTTCTCTAATAAAATTTTCATCACACAATAAATATATAAATATATAATAAGAAAATAGGCAACATATATATATAAACCCTCTTTGTTCTTCACTTTTTTTTTTTTTGGGAAATTTTGGGGCCAAAGCCCATGTATTAAAAATCAAAACCAGTTACATGTAAACATGTAAATCTATAGAAAATGAAAAAGAACAAGAGCAAACAATACAAAAAACCTCCCTGAAACAAGGATCAAAAGGAGAAAGAAAACAAGGGTAATATAAGGGACCGGGACTCAAGCAGGAGGAGAGCACCCAAAATCATAAAAATTGATCATTGGCTGGAATAATAGAGACGTCATAGGTTGCCAGAGTGACAGCAAAACAGATAACCAGAACCCAAAAAAGGCACAGGGTCATCTAATAGGACCAATCAAGAGAGAGAGAGAGAGAGAGAGAGAGAGAGAGAGAGAGAGAGAGAGAGAGAGAGAGAAAATCGCAGCCATGGGAAGCTCCCCGGTCATCATCGTCCAAATATTAACAGCAAACGAAAACCACCAAAGCCGCAACTTGTAATCAGGAAAGCACATAAAATTTCTCTTTAAGTTTATTAACATTTTTCCAGCATTTTGTTTTCCCTCTGATAGACATTTTAATAGCATCAATCACTGAAATCGGGGCAGTCCAAGAATTAGAGAAACACCTGTTGTTTATTTCCCTCCAAAGAAAATAAATAGTGCACGCAATGACAAAAAACAAAAAATTTTCTCCATCTTGTTGTAATCGGGAATAAAATCTAGATGATCATAGGCTTGAATGAGATTTGGCCTCAGAAGGAAACCATCAAAACCACATAGTGAATCAAAATTCGGGTGCATCCGTACAACCTGGTCAGGTCTGAACTTTGGGGCACCAGAAACGGCACGTCTTAACTGCCTAAATCGGCATAGAGGAAAGAGACCGGGTAGTCTTCTCCAGGCGCTCGACGAGAGAAAGCATCGTCGGCTTTCGCCCTTTCACCTTAATCGGATGATCTAAGCGTTGAACAGTCAGTAGATCGCTCAGTTTTTAGCTGGAGTTTGGCGAGTATTGATCGCTCTCATCGGTGCGCATTCACGCAAATCTGTTTTCTATTTTTCTTCACCGTATTCGGCGGAGGTTTTTGCTGCTCTTGATCTATGGAGTACTTCCTTTTTGTAAACTTCAATAGTCCTTATGGGAGAATTTTCACTCTGTGGATTGGCATCGGTTCTCATCGGTTTGCTCGCTCGATTAACTGCTGTATCTTTTTGGGATAAGCATTCGCGGTTTCAATTTATTTGACGATTAATCGTCTATCTCAAGTGTTCTTCGGTTTTTGGGTTATATTTCTCTGATGAATTTAATTGTTTTCTTGCAGGTACTCTTGTTAAGTACAGTCGATCAGGTCTGTCTCTCAGTCATCTTTCCATTGTTTTTTTTTACTTTGTTTATGGAGTTTTAATTATTTTCTATGATCTTTTTGCTGTTTGGTTTGTCCCTAGCATGATTTATTCTGTTTCGATTCATTTTGATTTCTCATCTTCTTTGGATCAGGTCTGCCCCCTAAGTTACGAAATCTCTTTTTTTCGTTCAAGCCTTTGCTTGTCTGCCTCTTAGTGTACCTGGGGGATCTACAAGTAGCAATTTGGCTTTGCATTACCCATTTTCTAGATAGAGACTGCTGACATTAAAATATCTGCTATCGGAATGGCAACAATGGTAACCCGGGGAAGCAGCCCATTGGCATCTTCTATGTCTTTGCGAGAGAAGGGTAACAGGAACAAAAGGAAGTTCAGAGCAGATCCACCTGTAGCTGACTCAAATATTCTAAATCCCCTTTATCATGTGGATTGCACCAACTATGACTTCTTTCCCATGGAGACGATTCCGGGGAATCCCAATGTGGAGCAACATACCAGCTTCTGTGATTCATGCAGGATGTTCTCTTGTGGATCAAAGGAGGAGCTAGGGCTGGAGGCACTACATGAGGTGGATTGGAGCAACCTCATGGTGAACAAACTTGAGGAGATTATCCTGAGCATCTTAAATGAAGTGTTCAATGGAGCTATAAAGAGCATTGCCTCCCATGGGTATACTGAAGAGGTTGCGACTAATGCTGTATTAAGCTATGGGATATTCTATAGAGGCAAATATACAGTTTCTAATATTGTGGATAATGCTTTGTCACTTTTGAGGAGCGGGAGAGAAGTAGACTCTTCACCAAAAGAGAATGTTGCTGAGGATGTACAAAAGCTTGCCAGGAGTGTGCTGGCTGACATGGTTAATGTGCTTAGGGAAGTTAGGCCATTTTTCAGTGTCGGGGATGCAATGTGGTGCTTGCTGATCTGCGACTTGAATGTTTCACATGCCTGTGCTTTTGACTCTGATATTTTGAGTGGTACATGCTATGATGAGAAATCAAGTAGTTCTAATGTCTCCCAGTCAGAGCCGGAGGCGAATTCCAGCATTTCTACTTCTCAGACTATGCCTGAAGTGGAGGTATCAGTTAGCAGGAAGATCTACCATCTCAATGCTTCTAAGAGGGAACCAATCTTGCGAGAGAAGTCATTTCACTTTGAGGATCACCGAGCAAATAGGTCAAAAGCAACTCTAAGGGCAAGCAAGCATGGGGGTATAGGTGGACCACTTATGCATGAGAAAGTCAAATCAATACCTGATTCTTCTTGTGTAAGCTTCAAGTGCAATTCTCCCAAGCCTAATAAAGTAGTAGGATCACATTCATTACAAACGGATGAATCTCTTGGTTTTTCTTTAAGTGATGTATCCTCCAGCAGTCCTTCTGCAAGCATGAAAGAAAGTAGTAGCATGGAACCTTTAACAACAACGAACACAGACCTGTCTTTGTCATTGCTACCTTCCACTAGTAGTAGTACTGGTTATGGGCCTTATGGCATCAAACCAGATACACATAGCAGTTGTGTGGGGATGGGGTCTGATAAAATAAATGGTAATTGGATCCCTCATGACATGAAGGATGAGCTTCTTCTCAAGTTAATCCCACGTGTGAGAGAATTGGAGGCCCAAAAACAAGAGTGGACAGAGTGGGCACAGCATAAGATCATGCAGGCTACCCATAGGCTGAGCAAAGACAAGCCTGATCTCCAAACTTTGAGGCAGGAAAAGGAAGAGGTGGCTCGCCTAAAGAAAGAGAAGCAAACTTTAGAAGAAAACACTAAGAAGAAGCTTATAGAGATGGAGAATGCCCTGTCCAAAGCTAGCAACCAGATAGAAGAGGCCGATGTTACCACACGAAGGCTTGATAATGAGAATTTAAAACTGAGAAAGGAGATGGAAGCTGCAAAATTGCGGGCTGAAGAATCAGCAGCAAGTTGTCAAGAAGTCTCTAAGAGAGAGATGAAAATTCTTAAGAAATTTCAATCATTGGATAGAGATAGATCATTGTTGCAAGATGAGCTTATGAGCGAGAAGCGGAAGTTGTTGCAGCTACAACAACAATTCAAGTTTACTAGAGAGCATCATGATCTCATGCAGGTAATGTTTATTCGGTGTTGTTTTTAACTTATTTTCTTTTGGGAATGTCTTAATATGCCCAATAATTGCTGATATCAGAGAACTATGACTGTTGTTTCATTTTTTTTTTTTTGAGAGAGAAATATATCCGAAACTTTGTTTCATAGAAAAGTACCATTGATATTATAGAAATAGGGTTTGAAAATCTTGCTCAAGAGTTACAAAACTTTTGAACAAGGATTTGGTTGATTGTTCCTCTTTCTAGGGCATTACTTGTCTCCTGCGATATCCAAGTGCATGCAATTGGTTGACGACAAAGTTTCACGACATAGTTTTTGCCTCCATCCTGAATTATTTGTTCAAGATTAGTGATGTTACGTGTTAGATTATTTAGGTTTGAGTATGTCATTCATATTATACATTCTAAACATAAAAGGACATTGTAAAGCACATCACCAGCTATGAACATGCTAGAACTTTGTTTGAATCATCTTAAAACTTTGTTTGAATACAGTTCACTCAAGGTTTGAATAAAGTTTGAAGAAGTTTCAAATGACTTAAATAAGGTTTGAATATGGTTAGAATAAGGTTTGGATATGGTTCGAGCAAGATTCAAACGACATATGAGCATGGTTAGAATTATGTTCGACCAAAGTTCAAACATGATTATAATAATGTTCGAATAAAATTCAAGGTAAGGTTTAAACATGTTGGAATAAGGTCCGAATATTGTTTGAGCAATATTTGAAGTTATGATTGAACATGATTTGACCATGATTCAAATATGTTCAAGCAATGTTGCACTAAGTTTCTAGCAAGTTTTGAACAATACTCAATCAAGGATTGAGCATGATTCAAATAAAGTTTGAACATGATTCAAATAATGTTTGACTATTATTTAAGTCATGTTCGAGCTTGAAAGCATTGTTCGATCATTGGTTGTACATGGTTCGAGCATGGATCGAATGTGATTTGATATTGGTTTGATTAATCGTTTTGTTTTTCCCTTGCTAGCTTTTATGTAGTTGACTCATTTGAGTTAACTTGTTATGTATTCAAATTTTCTATAATTGTACTTTAGATGGCATAATATTGCTTGGATCACATATAGAGTTGTTGGTGTGATGGAGAAAATCATTAGTAAATTTTTTTTAATACTCTTAAACTCTAATTCTCTGGGACTTTAATTCATCAACTGTTATTGAGGGTGATTGATGATGATGAGAATGTGATGGGGACATCGACAGGAGATTTCGGCGCGTTTATCAGAGACGACACCAGAGATCGATGGCCATGATGGAGAGCCTTTACTATTGATGCCTACTTTGTATTAGCATTTCATGTATTATGTATTTCTTTTCAGTTTTTTTCACTTTTGCCCTTATGGGTAGTTGATTGCTTTTGTAGCCCAAGGGGGCATATTAGTCTTTTGTATTAGTTGTCATGTAGAGCCTATATATATGGCTCTTGTATCTTGTATAAGGATTATTGATTATTGAAATGAAATTCTTCTCTTTGTATTCTCTTTGCGAGTTCATGTTTTCTTGATCTCTTGGTGAGTTCAATTCTCTTAGATCTCTGTGTGAGTTCTATTGGAGGAGTCGTGAGGCTTGTAATCTCTATTCTTCCACCTTCTCCACAATACAAACAACAATCCAACTCAAGCACTAGAGAGCCCGATCCCCTCTGTTGCCGCCGCCCTTGGAGCCCCAACCCGCCGGCCACCCTAGCTCCACCGGCCGGCCACCTTGCCGCTTGCCTCTTCCCCCCATCCTCCCGCCACCCCTCTCTCCCCTAGCCTTTTTTGAATTTTGAATTTCAAAATTCAAATTCTTTCCAAATTAGGAAAGCCCAATTTAGGAAAGTTTTAAATTTTTTTAAATTCAATTTTTAATTCAAATTGAATTGGATTCATTAGAATTTCTTTCCTAGTCATCATCCCAATTTAGAAACCCCCTCCTCATTCTCCAAACCTCTCCCCACCTCCTTGATGCTGGCAGCCCCTAGGATGGGTCCCCATTGATTGCTTAATTAATTCCCTCTTCTATGTTTGAAATCCAAATTGATTTCAAAATATTTTTTCCTCTAAACTTTTAAAATTGAAATTTATTTCAGTTTTATTCCTAAACCACTCATCCCTCTCTCTCTCCATACCGCCGGCTCCCTATTGGGCTCCCTCCCATTACTCCCCCATTAAGGTATTAATTGCAATCAATTTTGGGGTTCAAATTTCAAATTACTTCTCTCATAAATTCCTAAAATCTGAGAATAATTTCAGATTTAGATCTAAACCTAGCTCCTCCCCTCCTCCTCTCCAAACCGGCCCCCTCTTTTCTCTTGGGTTTTCTTTGTGACCTCTCATCTACAAGCCCATGTTGCTTGGCGGATCCCGCCATTGATCACATACTCGAATACGACATCTACGGAGCCATCCACGTCCTTCAATCTCCTTTCTTCGACGTTGGATTTGGCTTTGACGACACCATCGAAGATTATTTGAATCGAATCCTTCCCACCCTTGTGGACGCCGTCGACGACCAATTTTCAGACTACGAGTGGATCATCCACGGTCATCCTTCCGCGCCACCTCCACCTCCGAGGACCTTTCCAACAACGACTTTCCTCAGCTCCTCCCTCGTCGTGGCGACCTCATTTCTAGCGTGGACGATCTTCCTCCGCTCAACCTAGATTCGTAGGAAAGCGAGAAAGGTCTCAAGGTGAACAACTCGTTATTAATATTTGGATTCAAGTTATAAGCTTTTAACATTACTTTTCCCTTTGTATTTGATTAAATTGTTTTGGTTAATTTCCATGTAATTCTTTGCCTAAGCAAGTGGAACACGGAGATTTCTTGTAACCAACTTTGAATGGATGCATGATTTTATAAAGGTTAAACTAATAGTAAATTCTCTTTTTAATCTTGTGTAACTCCAAGCTTGCATCACATCAGAATGAGATGCTCCATTGTGTTCAAAAATGGATATAAAAACACAAAATTTTGAGTTGTAGAATTTATTCTAATAAATGAGTTGGAATTTGGAGAATTATCATATGGGGAGGAATTTGAGGCGATGAACTTAAATAGTAGAATACTAGATAATTCCTTACATGGAAATAAAAACTCCATAAATGTAGACTTGGAGAAAACCTATGATGCACAAACACGGACACGGCCACACATATACGACAAGACATGTGGCGAGGTTGAAGATGAATCCTTTTTTGGATATCCATGGGGTATTACATCATAAGAGAGGACACTGAGTGGGTTAAAGAAATATATGATGCATTATGGGGCCTCTATAATAAAGAAGAATGTCCTAGTTCAATACATTGTAATTGGATATGAAATATTAATATAGTATGGAGCGTGTAAAGCCATCCTAAAATTGGCAAGGCAGAGTATTGATTTTCTTGGAGAGGGGGCACTATGAATGTTGAGCTGGAAGAGTAGCAAGATATTTACGGGTAAGTATTTTGCACTATTGCTTTTGAATGAAGATGCAAGTGTTATGCAAAGTATTTTATTCTATTTTTCAATTTATCTGGTGGATAATTATTATAAATAAGCTCACAAGTCTTTTTAACTTGTTCTTTGTAGGCGACTGTTCACCCTATGTTGGCGATGAGGAGGGTTTTTATGAGGTTAATGTGTGTACTCCTCTCAGGCTATCCCAAATAAAGTTATGAAGAAAGTTACCTTTGCACGTTTTGAATTAAAAATAAGAGATGGGTCTTAAAAACAGCCAGGTGCAAGTTAGACTATGCCCTCCTCCAAAGGGCAATATAGTTTTTTCTTATTTTACAGGAGTTGAAGAGAAACCAATTTAGGTTAGAAAATAATCTATTAAGATTAGAGTAGAAATTAGAAGCTCTGATCAATCTTGTTCAAAGTTTTGTTTATAGGAAGGAGGAGAAGAAGGATAGCGATGAGATACTTTCCATTGACTTGGTCATTTATTTAGTTGAGGTCGGGGTGAAGAAGATGGAGTAGGTGGTAGAGGAGGAAGTTGGGGTAATATGGGATGTTGACCAAATCCTTCTTATTTTATTTACATATAAAGAGATCAAGAAGGCATGAGATATTAGCTTATCTCTTGCTATTATACATAAGAGTGACACACATTTATTATATTATAGAAAAAAGGAGTAAAAAACTCATGGATCCATGAACCATTGATCATCTCCTCCTGATCACAACAACAACAACAATGACAACATCAAGCCTTTGTCCCACTACGTGGGGTCGGCTACATGAATTCTTTTTCTCCATTGTGTTATGTTAAAAGTCAAATTCTCGTTTAAATCTAATACAGAAAGATCATTTCTAATATTTTCTAACCAAGTCTTTTTAGGTCAACCTCTATCTTTCTTAACATAAGTCAAATCTAATAACTCTATTTTTGATCATCTCCTCCCGATTGATAAAGAGAAATTCAAGTATTTGATGTCATGGTTGGTTGATAATTCCAAATATATGTAGATAAGAGTGGGTAGTGGAAGCATATCGTGGTTTCAATAGTTGAGTACTTTCATAATAGTATGATGAGAAATTTTAGTTGAATGCATTTCATTTTTTTTAAAGGGCATATGAAAATTTTATGTTATTTAATAAGAAAGCGAACATGATACTATGTAAATTACTATGGATCATGCATCATCATGTTAGGTAAGTTGTTTGATCAGCAGATAAATGATCTTTATGTACAACTAGAAAAAGAGGAAGGACTCTTTTAAGTTGCCTAAAGAAACTGTAATGTATGCCATTATAGACGCGCGATAATTCTATTAAATTATGGGTTCATGCATAACTCATAATTTTTCAATGATTTGGAATTGAACACATTTGATGATATTTGAGATCTCATTGTCTATACAAATAATGGCATTTCCGCACTGCAGTGCAGACCTTGTAAGGAACAATTAGTTCTTTTTGCAATTGGTTACCAAAATTATTTGAGAATCATGGTTATTAAAAAATCGGTAGGAACTTCTCTCCTCTGAAGCTCCTCAGATTTTGA